TGCACAGATCCCTCTTCAGAAAAGAGCTTTATTCATCCATAGGTTTTATGCAGAATTCTACAGGACACTAACAGTTGGCTTTTGCACCTCTTCCAGACCCAGGATTTAGAAACACGGGAATCATTGCTGCATCCAGCCTGACCAAAGCAAACCAAAATGCACAGTTTTCACAAATATCATCACAGGCAGGCAGGTTCTGTTTTATATCTCTGTCAATTATCTGGATGAGGCGCCCGCAGTTTGTTTGCAGCTGACACCAAGTTGGGTGGGGGTTTCAATGTGCTCTGCACGGAGATGTGGCCAAGCTGGCTGGATGTGATGTGAGGCCAGCGGGGTGAAGGTTTAAAGAGAAAAAGGTCTCAGTCCTGCCCTTATGTCCCAGGAACCCCCAGCAGTGCCCCAGGCTGGGGGCAGAGTGGCTGGAAATCTGCCCAGCAGGAAAGGTCCTTAGAGTGCTGGCTGACAGTGGCCAAATGTGAGCCAGCATGTGGCCAAGTGGGCAAGGAGGCCAGTGGCCTCCTGGCCTCCTGTGTCAGCACTAATGTGGCCAGCAGGATGAGGGTGGTGAGTGTCCCTCTGTGCAGGGCATAGGGGAGGCCACACCTCGAGTGCTGCGTGCAGCTGTGTGGCTCTGTTGAGATGCAATTAGTGAGAGATGCCTCTAGTTTAACTAAGGTGCTAATGAGACCATCTACTAAAGGCAACAACAGGGATTTTATTGAACAATAAATGAGAGAGTTAGAGATAGGAAAGAGGAGGGCAAGAAGGAAAGAGGGGGAAGAGTGGGGTCAGGGTGTGGTGGGAAAGAGAAATGCTGAGGTTGAATATGGAAGAGATCAAGCAGAGGACAATCCAAAAGGCTTGGCTTCTGCAGTGTCCTGTCAGTCCTTCAACCGCATCAGTCACCCTGCATTTCTCTGCACTGGTTATCCTGGTAGTTCTTGTGAAGATCAGGACACTGGGTCATTCATTGTGTTATAGGTAAAAATTGACCCAGCCAAATTAAAAAATATAAAAAACCAATTATATTATAGCAATCGAATTCTATGTGAGCCAGCCACATAGAAAGGGACAGTGCCGAGCCCAGGATCGTCACTGGGTGAGACACAGGTTTGACCTCTCCAGCAGAGGGTCTCCTGTGCTACACACCACCCTCCCAGTATGAGCAATTCTTATAGGGATTATATTGCTCAAGGCTGGGATTTAAGTGATCAGACTTTTCTTTCCATTCAAAGTTCCACGTATTCATAAAATCTCTTTTTTCTCTGTTGAGATGAAAAATCCGGTGTCCGGGAAGCGATGGCACTCCTGATGGAGCTGAGGGAACACAGCTTTCAGATGCATCAACTTGGATGGTTCCAGTGATTCCAGTCTTGGGTCGTTACCAGGACAATCGTTGCTTGGGAGATCTTGGATCACCTTGAGAGATAACCCATCCCCAGACAGGCTACATGTATTAACCTGAAAATGAGGTTTTATCAGGGACCAGTTTTCACATATATGAGACAACCCCTAGTGCTGATTTGTACATTTTCGTAATAATATCAAATATTACATAGATACCATTCTACCGGCGTGAATTATCTTCATTATATATAACAATGCAGGTTTAACACCTTTCTTCAATCCATCTTGCAGGTGCAGAGGGAAATGTTTTCCTATTTACCAGATGAAAAGAAGGATTGAACTTCATTTGCCTGCTATGCTGAGGCCCAAGGAGCATTTCTCAGCTCCTAAAACCCCCTTCCTGCGGACAGGGCAATGACATATCCCCACAGTGCAGCCCGGGGCTAAAGTCAGCTTCAGTGGAGCGCACAGGGCAGGGCTGTCATCCTTCCGCAGCTGGCTTGCCATGACCAGGCTGCCTTGCTGCTGACATGGGGTGACGGGCTGGGGTCAGCAGCAGGACCTACCTTTGGCAAGTGGTTGCCTTGGCCACCATCCACCCATCCATCCATGAATCCCGTCTTTTCATCTCCCTGGTGCCGTTGCCTCATGCACCAGCCGCTGTCCCTGGGAGCTTGGCCTGCCCAGGGTGAGCCCTGAGGCATCTTTAGGCAACGCCCTGGTGCTGGCCCTGAGCTCACTGCTCCGGCTGCCCGCAGAGGCAGCTGAAGGAGAAAAGGCGGCGCAGAGCCCGCCGGGCCCTCTTGGCCATAGAGCGCCATCGCCGTGGGGCCAGGGGCTGCGGGACGGCTGCACTGCCAGCGGGGCAGGCTGGAACGCTGTGTGCCAGGGGCTGGGCAGGCACCGGGCACGGCCCTGCCGGCAGCTCATCCCCACAGGGCTTTCCCTGGGGAGGGGCAGCCCGGGCACAGCCAGCCTCCATGCCTGCTGCGTCGGCCTCTTCCACAGCATCGGCAGGCACGGCACAACCCACAGACATATTTGGGTCTTTGAGTAATGCTGTGGGGAGAGGCTGGCTGTGGTGCTCGATGCAGGGATCACTGTCTATGGGAGAAGCTGGTGGTTCTGCTTCCTCCTCTTGCAGTGAGAGAGACAACGGGCTGTCTGGCTCGCTGTCACTCTCTCCTGCTGCTCCTCCGTCATAGAGCTCCTCTTCCTCACACATTTCCACGTGCTCATCGAGAAAGGCGCAGGATGGCGAGTAGCCAGAGACAGAGCACAGACCTGCCAACAGGTCAGGATGTGCAATCTCTGTGTTGTTATCTGTCTCTCCTGCGGAGTCCTTGACGAGAGCACTGCACGACAGTGAGTTGTCCGAGACAGGGCACAGCTCAGCCAACAACTGGTCAAGAGACACAAGTTCTGAGCAGGTTTGTGTCTCTTCTGCAGCATCATTGGTCAGGCTGCAAGTGTTGTGCTGACCCTTTTGCTCTCCCAGCCTGGGAAGGTGTTTCCCAGGCCCAGCCAGCAGCCAGAGTGCCCCTTGGTGAAGGTGGTACCATCTCTTGCTGGCCTCTGGCCATGGGGCCCACAGCAAGTGCTGCGCCTCTGGGAGAAAACCGAGGGGCTGCTGCTGCTGGCAGATGGGGCAGCTTGACCCTCGCAGAGGCTGCTCTTTGCATTTCAGGGCTGAGCTGGCAGAGAGGTGCCAATGGCAACTTTGGGCCATGGAGAGGTGGCAAGTCCGACACGGACAGTCTCTGCGGCCGTGTGCCGCTGCTGTGCAGCGTGTGGTTCGTCCAGGTGACCTGAGGTGCCGCCTGTGGCTGCCTGGGGGTCACCTGTGGGGAGCAGGAGGAGGCACGGGATGGAGGCAGCTGTGTGAGCACAGCGTCCCCCACGTGCCTGCAAGCCCAGGCCTGGCCCCAAGGCCGGTGCTGGCCATGGCAGCCAGGCTGGGCCGGGTTCCCAGCTGGGCTCGCTGCCTCTGGGGCATTGCTGTGCCTGGGCCATCCCAGCACCGGCCCCTCCGCAGAGCATGGCCTGGTGCCAGGCCTGGCTGTCTCTGCCCCAGGGCTTCCCCCAGCTCCCACTGCAGGCTGTCCCTCCATCCCCGGCCCTCACCTGTGGCTGCCGCCGGTACAGCAGTGGCTGCCCCTCACGGGGCTGGCCATGGGCATTTGCCTTCTGCTTTTCTGGCATTGTGGGAGTGCTCTGCTGAACACTGGCCACAATCACCCAGGGTAGCTGCTGCCTCCAGAGAAGCTGCTGCCTCCTCAGAGCGCTGCTCTCCTGGGAGTGGCCACTGCAGGTTTTGGCAGCCCCAAGGGTCATGACACGCACCCACGTCACAATGGCCTCTGAGCACCATGTCACTGCGGGTCACAAAGGCCTGGTGGGCATGGCCGCCCCTTCTCCCAGAGGCCTGGTGGCTTCCATGCTGATGCCCCTTGACACAAGGGCTTTTTTATTGCCTTTGCCCCTCAACTTTGCCGACGCTTCTTCCTCTCCCAGTGTCCCACAGCTCTCTCTTGTCTCACCTTCATGTTCTCCCCTACACATCCCCAAGGAAGCCCTGTGCTGTGCCAAAGTGCTTCGCCCACCCAGCCCTCCATGTATCCCTGCCCTTGGCACTGACCTTCGGCACAGAGATCATCAGAAAGGCAAAAGCCTCATTTGAACTTCATCTGGTCACTACTGTGAAAGACTCTAAAAAGTGTGTTTTAAAAAGGTTAATAAAAAAGCAGGGCCAAGGAACGTGTCCATTCTTTTTTTCGGCGAAGGCGCAGAGGGGACAGAGTTTGGTCATGTCAGTGGCATCCTGGCATTCTGTGTCAGCTCTAGTGTGGCCAGCAGAACCAGGGCTGTGATTGTCGCTCTGTGCTGGGCACTGGGGAAGCCACACCTCGAGTGCTGTGTGCAGATGTGTGGCCCTGTTAAGATGTGATCAGTGAGAGTTTCCTATGCGCAACTAAGGTGCCAACAAGACCATCTATCAAAGTGAACAATGAGGGGTTTATTTAACAATAAATGTGGTGTAGAGAGAAAGGGATGGGAAAGAGGATGGTGAGAATGAGAGAATGGGAAGGTCAAGGGTGGATTGGGCTGGGCTGGGGTGAGGTGGGAAAGAACAAGAATGGGAATGAGTGGGGAAGAGTGGGAGTGGGGAGGGGAAGATTTCCGACAGAGGTAAGTCCAAAATGCTGGTCTCAAGCGGTGTCCCGTTGCTCCTTCCCCAGTGTGAGCTTCTGCACTGAGGCCCTGGTGTTTCTTATGGAGCTGAGGACAGCAGGTCATTCAGCCAGGGTTAACACCTTTCACCAGTCAATTTTGTTGTTGGTATCCAGAGAGGTATTTTCCTAGTAGCCATGTAAAGAGCGAATGGGTCTTCCTTCATTTACCTGCAAAGCTGAAGCCCAAGGAGCATTTCACAGCTTCAAATGCAGCCTGGGGCAGAATGGTGATGCACCCCCACAACGCAGCACTCTGGGATTCTGCAATGTGCTGCTGTCATCCTTCCTCAGCTGGAACTCTCTGACCAGGCTGCCTAACTGCTGACATGGGGTGACAAGCTGGGGTCAGCAGCAGGACGTACCTTTGGCAAGTGGTTGCCTTGGCCACCATCCACCCATCCATCCATGCATCCTGCCTCTTCATCTCCCTGGTGCTGTTGCCTCAGGGACCAGCCGCTGTCCCTGGGAGCTCAGCGTGCCCAGGGTGAGCCCTGAGGCATCTTTGGTGACCGTCCCAGTGCTGGCCCCGGGCTCACTGCTCCGGCTGCCCGCTGAGGCAGCTGAAGGAGAAAAGGCGGCGCAGAGCCCGCCAGGCCCTCTTGGCCATGGAGCGCCATCGCCGTGGGGCCGGGGGCTGCGGGACGGCTGCACTGCCAGCGGGGCAGGCAGGAACACTGCGTGCCAGGGGCTGGGCAGGCACCGGGCACGGCCCTGCCGGCGGCTCATCCCCACAGGGTTTTCCTGGGGAGGGGCGGCCCGGGCACAGCCAACATCTATGTCTGCCGCATCGTCCTCGTCCACAGCATCGGCAGGCACGGCACAACCCACAGACATATTTGGGTCTTTGAGTAATGCTGTGGGGAGAGGCTGGCTGTGGTGCTCGATGCAGGGATCACTGTCTATGGGAGAAGCTGGTGGTTCTGCTTCCTCCTCTTGCATTGAGAGAGACAACGGGCTGTCTGGCTCGCTGTGACTCTGTCCTGCTGTTGCTCCGTCATAGAGCTCCTCTTCCTCACACATTTCCACGTGCTCATCGAGAAAGGCGCAGGATGGCGAGTTGCCAGAGACAGAGCACAGGCCTGCCAACAGGTCAGGATGTGCAATCCCTGTGTTGTTATCTGTCTCTCCTGCGGAGTCCTTGACGAGAGCATTGCAAGACAGTGAGTTGTCCGAGACAGGGCACAGCTCAGCCAACAACTGGTCAAGAGACACAAGTTCTGAGCAGGTTTGTGTCTCTTCTGCAGCATCATTGGTCAGGCTGCAAGTGTTGTGTGGGGCCGAGGGGCCTGCAGCTGGCTCCAGGGTAAAGCTTGATGCATCGCTGAGGCTGGACTTGGACCTCATGGGCCTGTCGTTGTCATCCAGGGAAGAGAAGATGGCTCTAAACATCTCTTCATACACTTTATCTTCCAGCTGCTCCAGCTCCTCCCTCTTTTCACGCAGACGACGCATCAAATCCTCATCATCCTCTGGGCACAGCTGCTTGCAATCTGCAATTTGTTTGGCTGGCCAACTAATTCCCTGCACCTCTTGGCGGGCGCTTAACCACTTGGGGGTTCTCAGGGTGGACTTGACGGACCTGTTTTCCCGCAGATATGGGCCCAGGCCTGCAAACAGGTCACTGCAGGTGTTGCCCCCATGCCCTACCTGCACCTGGATGAGCTCCTCTGTCTCAGAGTGCTCCAGGTGCTTCCAAGCCGCATGGGTCCCAGGGCGGATCTGCATGCCACGTGCAGGTTCCACAGGTGGCAGGCCGTGGCCCTGCCTTGCCGCTGAGCCTTTTGCTCTCCTAGCCTGGGAAGGTGTTTCCCAGGCCCTGCCAGCAGCCAGAGTGCCCCTTGGTGAAGGTGGTACCATCTCTTGCTGGCCTCTGGCCATGGGGCCCACAGCAAGTGCTGCGCCTCTGGGAGAAAACCGAGGGGCTGCTGCTGCTGGCAGATGGGGCAGCTTGACCCTCGCAGAGGCTGCTCTTTGCATTTCAGGGTTGAGCTGGCAGAGAGGTGCCAATGGCAACTTTGGGCCATGGAGAGGTGGCAAGTCTGACACGGACAGTCTCTGCGGCCGTGTGCCGCCGCTGTGCAGCGTGTGGTTCGTCCAGGTGACCTGAGGTGCCGCCTGTGGCTGCCTGGGGGTCACCTGTGGGGAGCAGGAGGAGGCACGGGATGGAGGCGGCTGTGTGAGCACAGCGTCCCCCACGTGCCTGCAAGCCCAGGCCTGGCCCCAAGGCCGGTGCTGGCCATGGCAGCCAGGCTGGGCCGGGTTCCCAGCTGGGCTCGCTGCCTCTGGGGCATTGCTGGGCCTGGGCCATCCCAGCACCGGCCCCTTCGCAGAGCATGGCCTGGAGCCAGGCCTGGCTGTCTCTGCCCCAGGGCTTCCCCCAGCTCCCACTGCAGGCTGTCCCTCCATCCCCGGCCCTCACCTGGTGCCGCCGCCGGTACAGCAGTGGCTGCCCCTCACGGGGCTGGCCATGGGCATTTGCCTCCTTCTTTTCTGGCATTGTGGGAGTGCTCTGCTGAACACTGGCCACAATCACCCAGGGTAGCTGCTGCCTCCAGAGAAGCTGCTGCCTCCTCAGAGCGCTGCTCTCCTGGGAGTGGCCACTGCAGGCTTTGGCAGCCCCAAGGGTCATGACACGCACCCGCGTCACAATGGCCTCTGAGCACCATGTCACTGCGGGTCACAAAGGCCTGGTGGGCATGGCCGCCCCTTCTCCCAGAGGCCTGGTGGCTTCCATGCTGATGCCATTTGACACCAAGGACCTTTTTAACGCCTTTGCCCCTCAACTTTGCCTAGACTTCTTCCTCTCCCAGTGTCCCACAGCTCTCTCTTATCTCACCTTCATGTTCTCCCCTAAACATCCCCAAGGAAGCCCTGTGCTGTGCCAAAGTGCTTCGCCCACCCAGCCCACCATGTATCCCAGCCCTTGGCACTGACCTTAGGCACAGAGATCATCAGAAAGGCAGAAGCCTCATTTGAACTTCACCTGGTCATTACTGTGAAAGACTCTAAAACGTGTGTTTTAAAAAGGTTAATAAAAAAGCAGGGCCAAGGAACGTGTCCATTCTTTTTTTCGGCGAGGGCGCAGAGGGGAGGGAGTTTGGTCATGTACATGCCAGTGGCATCCTGGCATTCTGTGTCAGCTCTAGTGTGGCCAGCAGAACCAGGGCTGTGATTGTCCCTCTGTGCTGGGCACTGGGGAAGCCACACCTCGAGTGCTGTGTGCAGATGTGTGGCCCTGTTAAGATGTGATCAGTGAGAGTTTCCTATGCGCAACTAAGGTGCCAACAAGACCATCTATCAAAGTGAACAATGAGGGTTTAATTTAACAATAAATGTGGGATAGAGAGATAGGGATGGGAAAGAGGATGGTGAGAAGGAAAGAATGGGAATGTCAAGGGTGGATTGGGCTGGGCTGGGGTGAGGTGGGAAAGAACAAGAATGGGAATGAGTGGGGAAGAGTGGGAGTGGGGAGGGGAAGATTTCCGACAGAGGTAAGTCCAAAATGCTGGTCTCAAGCGGTGTCCCGTTGCTCCTTCCCCAGTGTGAGCTTCTGCACTGAGGCCCTGGTGTTTCTTATGGAGCTGAGGACAGCAGGTCATTCAGCCAGGGTTAACACCTTTCACCAGTCAATTTTGTTGTTGGTATCCAGAGAGGTATTTTCCTAGTAGCCATGTAAAGAGCGAATGGGTCTTCCTTCATTTACCTGCAAAGCTGAAGCCCAAGGAGCATTTCACAGCTTCAAATGCAGCCTGGGACAGAGTGGTGATGCACCCCCACAACGCAGCACTCTGGGATTCTGCAATGTGCTGCTGTCATCCTTCCTCAGCTGGATCTCTCTGACCAGGCTGCCTTGCTGCTGACATGGGGTAACAAGCTGGGGTCAGCAGCAGGACCTACCTTTGGCAAGTGGTTGCCTTGGCCACCATCCACCCATCCATCCATGCATCCTGCCTCTTCATCTCCCTGGTGCCGTTGCCTCAGGGACCAGCCGCTGTCCCTGGGAGCTCAGCGTGCCCAGGCTGAGCCCTGAGGCATCTTTGGGCAACGCCCTGGTGCTGGCCCTGGGCTCACTGCTCCAGCTGCCCTCTGAGGCAGCTGAAGGAGAAAAGGCGGCGCAGAGCCCGCCGGGCCCTCTTGGCCATGGACCGCCATTGCCGTGGGGCCGGGGGCTGCGGGACGGCTGCGCTGCCAGCGGGGCAGGCAGGAACGCTGTGTGCCAGGGGCTGGGCAGGCACCGGGCACGGCCCTGCCGGCGGCTCATCCCCACAGGGCTTTTCCTGGGGAGGGGCGGCCTGGGCACAGCCAGCCTCCATGCCTGCCGCGTCGGCCTCTTCCACAGCATCGGCAGGCACGGCACAACCCACAGACATATTTGGGTCTTTGAGTAATGCTGTGGGGAGAGGCTGGCTGTGGTGCTCGATGCAGGGATCACTGTCTATGGGAGAAGCTGGTGGTTCTGCTTCCTCCTCTTGCAGTGAGAGAGACAACGGGCTGTCTGGCTCGCTGTCATTCTCTCCTGCTGCTGCTCCGTCATAGAGCTCCTCTTCCTCACACATTTCCACGTGCTCATCGAGAAAGGCGCAGGATGGCGAGTTGCCAGAGACAGAGCACAGGCCTGCCAACAGGTCAGGATGTGCAATCCCTGTGTTGTTATCTGTCTCTCCTGCGGAGTCCTTGACGAGAGCATTGCAAGACAGTGAGTTGTCCGAGACAGGGCACAGCTCAGCCAACAACTGGTCAAGAGATGTCGGAACTCAAAATGTCCCTCAGACATTTTTAGAGGTTCCAGGCCTTGGTCAGAAGCATTTTAGACCCTGGCAAGCAGCTGAAAACAGCTGTGATCTTGAGTTTGAACCATGGAATGAATTACCAACTTTAAAGGTGGAACAAGCAGTCACAGAGGGTTAGATGATATAGTAAAAGTAGTCACAAATTAGAGGGTAAAATTTTTTAGTATTGTACAGGGGGGTTTTAACACCTGTACAGGGGGGTTTTACTTTGTACAGGGGGGGTCAGGAGTTCTAAGATGGAGGAAAGTGGGCCTGAACCTGTTCTTCCTCCTTCTTCTTCCTTACCTCCATGTTCTTGGTGATGTTGGCATTTTTCTATTGGTTTAGGCTAGGGACACACTATTCAACGTAGATGATAGATATTGGCACATTATTGTAAATATAGTACACGTAATTTTTTGTATATAATGTTTGTACCATCCCACTGAGGGGCAGAGCCCCGCACACTGCCCTGCAGGACAGACCTGCGGCAGGGCAGCAGAACTTGTTATAGATAAGCAAAAATAAACAACCTTGAAACCAGCACAGACGAACTATGGCTTCTTCTTTGGCAACGGGGCAGAAAGACAGAGACTTTCTACAATCTCGGAATCACCAATACCCACAGATTCCGACAATTGGCGTCCCTTGGCGGGCATCAGCAAGAACAAGAAGAAACAGCAAACAACCTCCAACCTTCATCAGCAGAGAAAAACAAAAAAATAAAGAAAGGAAGAGGAACAGAGCACAAATGCTCTCGGCAGATTCCGGGAGGAGAGGGAGCAGAAAGCTCAAGATAAGAACCTGACCTTCACCAAGACAGCTCGTCTGGAGGACAGCCAGGAGGAGGAAAACCAGAAGCGCGCCTGGGATTTCTCGCCTGTGACCTGCTGGACGATGAACAGTGCCATCTCCGGACTGACCTCGTGGTGACTCAGCTTTTGGTGAGAATGGTTGAAATTAAGAACATGGGGAAGGGATGCTCCCAAGGACAGACAAAAAAATTTTTTTTCAGCCCTACAGGGCAAGACTTTTACCCATCTGGTAGAGATAGCCTCAAATGAGATGAAAGCTTTGTTATTGTGGGTGCAGTATACTCACCCGCACACAGATGTACATCTTTTGTTTGAGTTAAATTTTCGTAAGGGATCAATAAGCAACTGTATTACCGAGCCACAGGAAAAAGAAAAAAAAAGAGAGATAAGACTGCCGCAAAAACTTTTGCCTTCAGCAAGGACAATAAGAGTCATTTTCACAACGCGGCATTTTAGACTGAACAGCTAAGGCTCCTATGGGAGCACAAGGAGGAAGATGGCCCAGCCAGCAGCTTGGGGCAATTTTCCTCACCAGGGGAAGCAAATTGCCTCCCGAAGAGGATCAGGGGGGGTGGTGTCTCATCATGTCCTATGTCTCCAGGTTCACACTGTTCCTCAAGACTCCTCAAATCTCAATTTCTAAGCTCCTCAGCTGCAGAAAATCCCCAGACAGTGAGACAAGCTAGGCACAGACGCAGCCCTCGGTGGAGGAAAGGACTGGCCATTGCCCGAGTCCGAACCCACAGTGGGGGGGCAGCGGCGCCGGCGGCTCCTGGGGGGAGGGGCAGACTTGAGTGCAGAGCGGAGGGAAAAGTGAGAGAGAGGAGAGAACTCGCAGCTGCGCGGGTGGGGAGTTCAAAGCAGCCCGCGGTGCAGGCGAGAGGGGGGGGGGCAGTGGGAACCAGCGGACGCAGGAGGCGGCGGAAGCGCGGGGGCGGCGGTCAGACGCCTGGAGCGCCCGGTGATGCGTTCCATGACGGGAATCCGTGAGAGTGCGAAAGCACCGTCCGGCAGGTGCCGGGGAATAGCTCCCAATTCGCAGCGGCGGCGCTGGCCAGGCCGGCGGCTGGACGGAGAGCGGGACTCTCCTGTCGCTGCGGCGATGGCAGCGCGCATGCGCGAGACGGTAGAGCAAACCCGGAAGTCGGAGCGGAGATCTCCTGCACCTTGAACGCACGGGCACGGGCGCAGACGGCGTCGGGGGCGGCGGTGGCCGCCAGCCAGCCGTCCGCAGACTGCGCGGTGGCCGCGGGGGGGAGACCCGAGCGGCGCGGGGCCGGGCGGGACGCGGCGCGGGGCTGCACAGCGCGGAACGCGGCGGCGCCCGCTGATGACGTCAGCAGAGCGCCGAATCGCGCTAGGCTCCAGCAGCGGCTCGGGGACGGCGCGGGCCGACCCAGAGCGAGATCGGGGTGGCTCCAGGCCTGACAGAGAGAATGGGGGGGGACATTCCCGAGGGACGGCCGCGCGGAGCCGGTGCGGGCGGGCGCGGTCGGTGCGGGAGTTCCTTCCCTTGTTCCCATGGCGACACAAACAGAGGGTGAATCAAGGCTGCGCATGCGTTTGCGAGAGTTAAAGCGAACGCGGAAGTGGCTGACAGCGGGTGTGAGCAGGGAGGGAGAGCAAGAGAGAGGGGCGCAGCCATCCTAACGCAGGCAGAAGCGGGGTTTGACTGCACCAGGAATGCTCCCAGTGCTCTCATGCCGCGGCAAACAAAAAATCACAACAGCAAACAATCTTTTACAAGCAGCAAATATCCTGCAGCAATGCTGAGGATGAGTCTCCCAATTTTCACCCTGAAATAAAATTCCATCAGTCGCTTTTTGAAAACCAGCCAACACAAGGCCTTTTTCAAATCTCCCCAATGTTTCTAAACACCAACCCCAGATTTTTTCAGTTAGGTCACAGAATTGATCGAGCAGACACGCCCAGCCGGTGTGATGATAAGTAATAATTGTGGAACACATTGTGAAAAAGAGATATCATAATGAAAATTGAAATAGAGAATTAAATAGCATGAAATGTTAGTAATTTATTATATTAAGGTTTAAGTTAGGTTGTATTTTAACGTTTTATTAATGATGGAATTGATTTTTATATAGTTGGTTTGCGTTTAAGTTAAGTATT